TTATAACAAAGTGAGGAAGTGTGGAATAGACGAGTAGACAGTGAGGTTGGTTGAGAATTGACTGACTGGCAGAGTGCAGAGGGCTGTCACTGGCGCTGCAGAGTCTGGTTGGAGACCTGTAACCAGCGGTGTTCCCCAGGGGTCAGTGCTGGATCCGGTCTTGTTCAACATCTTCATCAATGACCTTAATGAGGGGATAGTGGCCACCCTCAGCAAGCTTGCTGATGATAAGAAGTAGGGAGGATTGGCTGACACACCCGAAGGCTGTGCTGCCATTCAGCGAGACCTGGACAGCCGGGCAGAAAGAAACCAGATGAGGTTTAACAAAAGCAAGTGTAGAGTCTTGCATCTGGGGAGGAATAATTGCATACACTGGTACAGGTTGGGGGATGACCTGCTGGAGAGGAGCTCCATGGAGAGGGAGCTGGTGGACGACAGGTTGGCCATGAGCCAGCAGTGTGCCCTTGTGGCCAAAAAGGCCAACGGCATGCTGGGGTGCATAAAAAAGAGCGTGGCCAGCAGGTCGAGGGAGGTGATCCTCCCTCTCTACTCTGCCCTGGTAAGGCCTCATCTGGAGTACTGTGTCCAGTTCTGGGCTCCCCAGTACAAAAAAGACAGGGATCTCTTGGAAAGAGTCCAGCAGAGGGCCACAAAGATGGTGAAAGGCCTGTAGTATCTCTGCTATGAAGAAAGGCTAAGTGGACTGGGTCTGTTTAGCCTTGAGAAAAGACTGAGAGGGGATCTGATCCAGGTCTATAAATATCTAAGGCGTGAGGGGCAGAGTGGCAAGGCCAGACTGTTTTCAGCAGCGTGTGGAGACAGAACAAGGGGAAACAGCCAGAAACTGGAGCATAGAAAGTTCTGCAGAAGTGCACACAAGAACTTCTTTATGGTAAGGGTGATGGAGTGCTGGAGAACAGACTGCCCAGGGAGGTGGTGGAGTCTCCTTCTCTGGAGATATTCAAGACCCACCTGGACACCTACTTGTGCAAGCTGGTGTAGGGAACCTGCTTTGGCAGGGGGGTTGACTCCATGTCTGGAGGTCCCTTCCAACCCCTACAATTCTGTGGTAGGATTTTCAAGTTAAGGGCTCTCTGGGATCTATTATTTTTCCCAAAACATCATCTACCACTCCCCTCACTCACCTTGAGATTAACATCAGTTTTCTACTCTCTTTTCTACTCTCTGCCTGTATCTATTCTGTACTGAACCAGGAAGAGCTTTAAACTGAGCTCTTTTGTGTTAATACAGAGTATAAAAGTCCCTGTAACAGTTAGTGTAAACTTCCCCATATAGGTATACAGTCTGTGCATGGCAAAGGAGAGAAAAAGCAATACGTATTTATTTATATAAAGTTTTTAAGAGAGATGTCTGTGAAAAAAAAAATGTCTGTAAAATCAAATGCTTTGGGGGCGGGGGAAAAGGTTAAGTATTTATCTCTGTACAGGTTTCATTTCCATGTGACCTAACCAAATATTTGGCCCATAATTCCTATTTTCTTATCAGGCTCACTATATATCATTTTCTGAAATAAACTTTGATCACTACACAAAATTATGTAGCATATCACGTTGTCCATAAATCTGCTTTACAAATTCTTCTCAATAGTATACTGCAGTGTTAATGAGGTGCTTATTTAAGGCTAAAGCCTTAGTTTTTGTTTTAGCAAGAACAAGCATTTATCATGAACAAATCTACCTGCTCTAGATAACAATTTCAATAGCACTCTCTTCATAATATAAATAGGGATTTATAGTGTTTGTTTTCCTCTCTCTTTCTGAAGATTTTAATCAAGAATTAAATATAAGACAAGGAAAAACTGAGGATTTGGGGAATTTCTAATTTGTTAGACATCAGACTACAAGTATAAGCCCCAGAGTTGCTTGAAAAGTTCTGATCTGAATGCTGTTGGCTACAGTAACTTGTGAAATATAAGTGAACATAGAAAAAAACACCACATTAAAAAGGACATACATATAAAAGTGTTCAAACCATTTGCATTTCAAACTGTTCTAATTTAAGAGCAACTAATTACATTATTAAGCTATTTAACAGGCAGTGCCATTAATCATACTGTTCCAAATAGGGAAACATCTCATGTTTTAAAGTGATTGTAGCCCTCACTAAGAATTAGAGAAAAGAAAAAGCTTATTTCTCTCTCCTTTCTATTCTACAGTAGTGCAGATCTATCCACTTCATGTTGCCTTTCTGAACATACCTTATTTCTTTGTTTGCTTTTAATCCCTATCCTCTCTACTCCTGAGTATATCCTTTCCAGGTCCCCAGCTTCCATCTTTAAGTGCATCTTCTACTTTCAAGGTGCCCTCAGCTATTCTAGAATGTGTTGTTCAATCTGTTTTGGCTCTTACCACATTCTTAAGAAAAATATAAATGAAAAGATCATAGATTAATTCTCATGAACTTTAAAAAAAAATCTCAAATTTTTATGAAAGACAAAGTTGTTCTCAATACAGCCTGTGTGACTACTCTACCTAAATGTTCATCTTTTGCCTTCATTCCTCTTTCAAGCACTGGCAAGTGCCATTTTCATCTCTACAATCTAAACAGGCAACTGTTAAAAATGGATGTGGCGCTGTCCTTGTTGAAATAACCATCAATAAAGCTTGTTTGGCAAGCCCAGGAAAAAGTGGGAAGAATCAAATTGAATGAGAAAACATTCTGAAATCATTCCTCTTTCCACAGCTTATTCCACAGAGTTAATGTACATTCAGTGTTCGCTCAAGTATTCCATAATGACTACCATTATGACTTTTTAGAACTAGTGACAGTAACTCAATACCGTTTCTGTTTCAAATTCTATGTTAACACCTTTTAACATTTAATCAGTACTACTTCAACGTATTCCACTGACCTATCTTCAGATAAAGTGATGAATCCTAAATCTCTGAAAAAAAAAATTGTCACAAGAAATTTCATAACTTTACTAAGTAGGTCAAATAATGAAATAAGCACTTAGTAAAAAATCATTCCTATACTTTCTGCATAAGTCATACCCTTACATGTGCCTTATAACAAGGGAATAGTATTATCTTAGACAAAAAAAAAAAAAAAATCAAATGAAAAATACCTTTCTGAGAAAAGTTTACCATAAAGACTATTATGATTACCAAAACACATGGAATCACTAAATATAATTTATTTGAAGCGCTAAAGCCAGCTCATAGCAATTCACTTGACTAGCCTGTAGGCCCAAAGTATTATTTAATAAATCTGCATATATTTCACTAACTTCAAAACTCCCTTCTAATTAAGGATAATTAGAAGGCACGGTCAATCTCTTGAGGATACCAAACTGCTGTATAAGCATCTTAAATCAAGCAATGTATATCTGCATTTTATCTCTACAAGATGATGAATTTTAATTCTCATTTACCTCAGTCTTCATCCAATTTTGCAAGCTAAAAATTAGCCTTCATCCCACTTAACTGATAATTACCTACACTTATCCAAATTTTTCCAACTTCATGAAAGGGAGAAAGTCTGTGAACATATGGGAAAACTCAGTTCATTCACTTCACTGGCATTTCTCATTTTTGATGTGTTAGAATGGACATTTTTTCCACAATTAAAAAATATTGAAGAAAACTAAGATAAAATGTCAAGAGGGAACACAGTTAAAATCTCTTATTTTTGGCCATTTCCGTAGAGCAAGTAACCTTCTAGCTGCATACTGAACTGTGTTAAATATGGCAATTGTGGTACTGTGGTACATAGGTATTAAAAGCATCATCACTGCTACTTGAGTCATCACCTATGTCTGTTGATTTGCTTTTCTGGAAATGGATCATGAATTAAATGCATTTGAAGTGATCCTATTAAAAGCTTTAGTATTTTCAAATCATTTCCATATCAGAAAGTATTTCCACATATAGAGGTACATACAGTTTCAAAGAGAAGAAGGGAGATGGAGAGGGTTTGTGGGAAGTGCATAGGCACATCCCTTCTGATGGGAAGATAGGCTGAAACCATGATATGGATTCAATTCTTCTCTTGTCCTGTTTCACTTTAGTTTTGTGGAATTGTCTTGGGAACAGATCAACTGTAAAGTAGGTCCAGTTGCAAGCCTGAATATTTGTATATTGTGTTTCTCATGCAGAACTGCATGAAGAAATTTTCCTTCTCATGCAGATGGATAATTTCTTCTTCCTCACGGACTGCTTCACCACTGAACTGGCAGAGAGAGCTTGTGAACAGAGGGGAAGATCAGAAACTTGAACTTTAAAAAGCTAAAAGTAAAGAATTTTAAGACTGAAATGATTTTTAATTTCAAAAAACCTCCCTGCTTTATCTCCGGTTACACTGTGGCCATTTTTACACATTAGCATGCTTGAAGTACTCAGTTAATTTAAGGAATTATTTCAGATTTTGATTGGCAATCACATGGTATAGACAATATATCTACACAGGATTAGAGCAGAACACTGACATTTTGTCATACAGAGGTGAGCAATAATCACCACCCATAAATGCACTGCCACGTCTGGCTTCTTGCATTAACTTTAACATGAAATCAGAAAATTAGTATCTAATTCATTTCAATGTGATACAGAACAAGCCAAGCATTGTACACCAACAGTTTTTCTTTAAAGTTGCATAAATCCTACATAGCTTACAGAAACATACTGGGCACTATTTTGAAATCATTTTAGTGCCTCCTCCTTATGATCCTGAGAACTCTACTTTAGCCATAACCAGATCAGGTGAGTTTAACAATTCTCTGAAGCTCTGATAAAGTTGGTTATTAACAATTCTCTTTCAATGCCCACTGTTAAAATCCTTAAGTACAACTGTACCATTTGGACTGTAACAACTCTGTTAATGTAAAAGAGATGTAACAAAGACTTGTTCTGCCACAAGCAGTACAGCATGTTGATCACTGTGACAACAATAGAACTTCCAATGCTAATACAATTAAAGTCAAGGTACAGATGGAGGGACTTCTTCCCCCCCCCCCCCCCCCCCCCCCCGGTAGTATTTTAACTAACTATATATATGTATACACACACACAGCACTTGTACAGTTTGGCCAGTGGTAAAAAGAAAATGCCCTTTAGCATCAATGTTCCCTGTTAGTAAGACCTCAGTCTGCAAGTCTAGATGTAATAGCAAAGCATCTGAGGGGAGAGGACTAAAAATAATAATAATAATAATAAAAGAAAACATTTGATCAGCATCTCTCTTTCCCAAGTATAAGCGCAACACTAATGTAACCATTCTTCCTGCATCTTAAACAGAAAACTGAAATGCAGAAATCTTTTCCATATTGAGCTGGGAGAATTTGCGTCTTCAGGATCAGTTACCTCCAGACTGATGCAGCACAAGAACTCATCACGCTGAGTACCTTTCATCATATATTAGATAAAATTGTCCCCTATCCATTCTGGTTAATCATGAAAATTTCCATCATTCCCAACTTCATGGTTTTTTTTTCCTCCAAGCAAATGGGGGAGAGGTCTGCAATAAGAATAATTTAGTGTGACAGCTTATCTTTCTGCCTAGTGGGTGTCTTCATAAAAATGTGGCTATGAAAGCCATTTCCATATTGATGAAGAATGAATTATTTCTGATATTGATGAAGAATGAATTCATCCTGATACAGAGTGAAACAATTGTTCTTTCAAAAAAGCAGGAGGATCCCAGTATCACAGGCATAATTATCCTCCTCATTCAGAGGTAATGAAGATAAGTTATAACACACGTGGCACTTAGCTAAATATACAATAAATAAAGTTATACGTAATGACATATTGTTAAAAGAGTCATTGTAAAAATCTCACTTGAAATAAGGTAGACTATAAAATCCAGTTTTATTTTCAAGCCTGACACCACTACTTCTCAGTAAGAGTTGCTCTTGAAGTGCAAACTACAAAGAAATAAAATTGATCACGGGAATGCAACAAGCCAGGTGGCATCTCAATTCTTATAAAAAAAGAACTGTAAGTTTATAGGCACACTCTCCTAATTTCCAGTGATCACAGAATTGTTACTCTGCTTGTCACACGACCTGCTAGTATATAGAAAGCATAGAAGACATGCTTTGAATTTTAGTTATATATACAAAAATTTTTTATAGTAGTTGTATTTATTGTTTACATGTACTTTTACATCAATTATGCATTTATATATACTTAGTATATATAAAGGTGTACAGCAAATTTAAAGGTGGCAGAAAAAACGTGGAATACTTTGTATATAAAGAAAATATATGTAGATATCTGAAAAATATTGCTTATTACACCATATTACAAATACATTGTCTATTTTTGTTATGTAAAATTATAAAATGCATATTAAGTATGTAAAATACATTAACAGTTCAATGCATCACAATGTATTCCTCATATTTAGCATGTATCATTGTACTACAATATATGAGATACTTAAATATAGCATATATTGTATAAGGAAGTATGTACATGAACTTCAGTTTGAAAGTAAAGTGCTTGACATATAGGAAGCTTCTATTTTTCCAAAATTACAATGCATTTCTCTGACTGTAGTAAAACCACTGTCAGGTATTTTTAGTAACACTAATACATTGAAAAGGCTAATTCCAACTAGCTTCAATTTGACAATGGAGTTAATGCTAGTGTCTACTAGACTAAGCAGGATCAATACAAACTACTCCTTGAGCTTAAGTTTATTCACTTGGGGAAAAAGCAGAGACTAAATTAAATGTACCTTCACATAATTTCTTCTAAGTCTATTTCCAAAAAAAAAAAAACACACCAAAGGTTCAAAATAAGATTCAAATTATCAAATACTAACAACATGAGTCCTTTCTAACATTAGTATGGTAGGAGACAACATTCTTCTCTTTCACTTCAGCCCTTCATCCATTACCCCTTTTCACTATGATTTTCAACTCTCAACACGTCCATGAGAAGCAACAATCCGAAGAGTCCTTGACATGCCAAAACCATGTCACTGCCACTCCACAAAAGACACTCTTCAACCTTAAACTGCAGTACTCATTCTGACTAGGATGAAGTTATATAGTTAAAGTCCTTCAATGGCAGCCGGTACAGTTGATGTTGTGGCTAAAGCACTTTGGAATACATCACTATTTTGGCCACTGTTGAATAGGGCTTGCACAGAAATGAGGTTCTCCTTCCACAGAACCCTCTCTCCCAGTGTAAACTGGGGATGGGCAAAATACAGGGAGAGGACTGACCAAAGGCTTTTATCTCATATGACATCATACTCAGCAATTAAAACCTCAAGAAAAGGAGGAGAAAGGAGGAATATTCATGGTTATGGCATTTGCTGAGGATATTCAGAGTCAGATGATTTGTGGAATTCCCACCACTGGAGATACTTATCATTTGACTGGAAATGACCCTGAGCAACATGTTGCAGTTTTGGAATTGGCCTCACTTTGAGTAAAAGTTGGACCACATGAACTCCTGATGCTTCTTGTAACCTAAATTATTCTAGAATTCTTCAGTCCTGTGATCCTTGCTTTTGTCAAAAGAAAATTACAAAAAAATCCATGTTCAACTTTCCAGCAGACATGCAATTATTTAAAACTTAGGTAATTATCATGAGAAGCTTGAGAAGAGTCACTTACTCCTTCCCTGTCTGTCCTAATACACTGCAGTTAATAGTTTTAGATTTGCTAAATAACAAGACCTTGTAAATTAGAAGAAATAGAAGTCAGCACAAGATTAGTAAGTAAATCTCAAAGCAAAAGCCTGCTACTGTATTAAGATTTTGCAATTATTGAGTTACTTCTAAATTATTTTTCTCAGATTGGTGGGAAATAAAACAGGAAAACACAAACAAACCAGAACAACTAGGCATTATTTCAATCAAGTTTATGCATTTATTACCTGGAAACTTGTGCAAGTCTGCACACACTTATTTTAGTTCTCTGAGGAATTCATTGATACTAGAAGGCAATGGATCCACAAAACAACTTCTGGCTGCAAAATGATTACTATAATATCTATTTAAGAAACTTATAAAACATGTGACTTCTGAATAGTTTTCTCTATTAAAGACCGTCATGACATGAATTGAATTTGGCTTACAATCACTTTTCACTCCCTCTGTCTGAAAAAGTAGGAACTGAAAATGAAGTCTCCCTCCAAGAACTGCAAAATCCACAGAATCACCAAGGTTGGAAAAGATCCACAAGATCATCCAGTCCAACCATCCACCTATCACCAATAGTCCTCACTAAACCATGTCCCTCAACAAAAAAATCTAACCGTTCCTTGAGCACCTCCAGGTGACTCCACCACCTCCTTGGGCAGCCCATTCCAGTGCCTGACCACTCTTTCAGAGAAGTAGTATTTCGTAACATCCAGCCTAGATCTCCACTGGCGCAGCTTGAAGCCATTACCTCTAGTCCTATCACCAGTTACACAAGAGAAGAGGACAACCCCCCCTTCAGGTAGTTATAAAGAGCAATAACATCTCCCCTGAGCCTCCTCTTCTCCAGATTGAACAATCCCAACTCCCTCAGCTGCTCCTCATAAGACCTGTGCTCCAGACCCCTCACCAGCTTTGTTGCCCTTCTCTAAACATGCTCCAGGGCCTCAATGTCTTTCTTGCAGTGAGGGTCCCAAAACTGGACACAGTACTCGAGTTGCAGCCTCACCAGAGCTGAGTACAGGGAGGCAATCACTTCCCTGTTCCTGCTGGCAAGACTGTTTCTGATACAAGCCAGAATGCCATTGGCCTTCTTGGCCACCCAGGCACACTGCTGGCTCATGTGCAGCCAAGCATCAATCAATACCACCAGGTTCATTTCCTCTATACAGTCTTCCAGCTATTCCACCCCAAGCCTGTAGTATTGCCTGGGGTTGTTGTGGCCAAAGTGCAGGACTTGGGATGAGGTTCAACAAGGCCAAACACCATTGGCTGCAGCCCAGCTTTCCAGATCCCTCAGTAGGGCCTCACTACCCCAGGCATATCAACACTCCCAGCCAACTTAGTGTCATCCGCAAATCTACTAAGGGTGCAGTCAATGCCCTCATCCAGGTCATCAATCAAAGAGGACAGGATCCAGCACCGACCCCTGGAAAGCACCACTCGTGACATGTTGCCAGCTGCATTTAGCTCCATTCACTACCACTCTCTGGGCCTGGCCTTCCAGCCACTTCCTTATCCAGCCAAGCCTGTACTTGTCCAAGCCATGGGCTGTCAACTTTTGCAGGAGAATACTGTGGGAGACAGTGTTAAAGGCTTTGCTGAAGTCTAGATAGACTATATCAACAGCCTTTTCCTCATCTACCAGATGGGTCACTAGATCATAGAAGGAGATCAGGTTGGTTGCCCTTCATGAACCCATGCTGGCCAGAAACCTAAAGCCATCATCTTTATCATCTAAACATCTCTTTATACTCTGTATACTTCCAGAATACGTAGAATGTGCGTCAGTATTAGAATATTAGTGATTCTGTGACTTACCTGTCAATAATGGCACACATGTCAATGCTGACATTGGCAAAGCTTCCCAGCTGGCCCTGCTCCACTGCTTGCAAATCTACCAGCTGATCATCCACATGAATAAACTGCATGCATCCTTGAAACGAATGGTGAAATAGAGAGTGATCCGAGTCATTCATCTGTAGAGGAAACCCTGGAATGCAGCAGAAGGAATAGCATTAATTTCACATACTGATAATCAAGGCAGAAATTTTTTTTGACTGGAAAAGATATGTTTTCTAGACAAGAGGAAAAAGGCAAAGTGGGGTACAATTACTAGATTTCATTGCTATGCTATTAAGTCACTGGAACTACTTGCAAGAATTTATACAGTATAGCTGATGATTCTTCCATTAGATTTTTTTTTTTTTTTAATTGAGTAGAAGTCTTCTGCTACTTTTCTTCTCTCCCATCCCCATATCACTATTTCTAATTAATTCTCATTTTAAAATCAGTTTAAGGAAATTGAGAAAAGATTAATCTTTTTAGCATATTTTAAGGATCACATTGCAATTTCTCAGTATATTTCTGTCACATATTTCATGAAACATCATCCCAGTTCAGATTTCTGCAGAAGAAATCTTCCTATACAATACTTGTGCTCAAAACTTTCTACAAACCTAGAACTAGCTCTGAATTCCATGCCTATTTCTGAAAAAATCTGAGAACAATGTTTAAAATTTTCATTTTTGCTCTGAACGTGTTCATTTATATGCTAATTTCATGAAGGTTTCTTAAGAAAGATGAGAATGAATTAGATTCTTGACCCAGGTGAAAGAATAGGGAAATGGAGAACATGTATATATACCATTGCTTAGCTGGACGTCCTTTATAGTTGAATGTATCAATTTACCTGAGAAAAATATCCTGGAAAAGACAGTGCAGTGCCTTATCCATTACTCACAATTGTTTAACAATAGATGGCCTCAGTACATTCATCTAAACAGAATATTTACATAAAGAGTAGGAAAGAAGAGAGACGGGCTGACAGGCATGTTCAATCCAAGTCCCATGGGCTTCATGCAACACAGCTCAGCTTGAACTGAAGCCCAAGCCTTTTACTGCTGTGTCATCACATTGGCAGCTCTGCCCTGCCAAGCAATACGACCTGGCCCTGGACACTGGGAGGGCACAATACACTGAAGACAAGTAATACTGCACAGTGATTGGTTTGCAAGGAAATTATGTTAGTTTTCAAAGATTACAGTTCAAAAAGACACTACATACAAAAAACATGCTGCCAAATTCAATGCGTACTAGAAATTCTTTGTAAAGACAAAATAGCAGAACTGATAGAAGTCAGTCTCCTCAACCAAATATTTTTAGAAAGTTAAAACTCAGACTCCATTTTAAAAACAAGTTATGTTAATAGCAAATCTGACTGCAAAAAAAATCAAAACAATTTCCTCACTGTGAGTTTGTTAAGCAACGTATGGAAAAACGTGGAAACGTATGTTTCTTTATCAGAACACATCTTTTTCAGTAGATTTGGAGAGTAAAACTGATAATTTCAAATTTTATGCTCTGGCAATACATGAAAATACTGATGCTACAGATATAGCTCATCTTGCAAATTTCATTAGAGGTACTGATAACAAATACAGTGACACTGAGGAAATGGCTTCTTTGGTGCCATGAAAGGTACAACTAAATTTGTATAAAGCAGTAAAAACTATATTAAAGAAATTTAACCTTTGCCAATCTATGTGGTCTAGCTACTGATGGTGCCCCAGTGATGACTGGAAAAGAAGAGATACTTATAAAATCAATAAAAGATGTAATTAACACCAGTAACTAATGTTTGATGAAATACCATTGCATCTGGCATCAAGAAAACTTATATGCAAAAGACAGAAAAATAGATATGTCCTGCAAATTCTCATCAAATCTGTGAATTTCATGAAGTAGAAGGATCTGAATCATTACCAGTTCTAGCAGTTCATTAAAATTACAGATGTTGATTATGGGGTCATAGAATCACAGAACGGCTAGGGTTGGAAGGGACCAAGGATCATCAAGCTCCAACAACCCTGCCACAGGCACAGCCACCACCCTCCACATTTAATACTAGACCAGACTGCCCAGGGCCCCATCCAATCTGGCCTTGGACACCTCCAGGGCCAGGGCATCCACAGTCTCTCTGGGCAGCCTGTTCCAAAACCTCACCACTCTCTCTGTAAAGAACTTCCCCCTGACATCCAACCTAAATCTTCTTTCCCTCAACTTCAAACCATTTCCCCTTATCCTGCTGTTATCTACCCTTTCAAAGAGTTGATTCCCCTCCTGTTTGTAGGCTCCCTTAAGGTACCAAAATACTGCAGTGAGGTCACCCTGCAGCTTTCTTTTCTGTCTTTCTTGTATGGGGGCTCCAGATGAGTCCTCACAAGAGCAGAGTAGAGGGGGACAATTGCCTCCCTGTCCCTGCTGGCCACCCCTCTTCTGATGGAGCCCAAGAAACCATTTGCAAGAGCACCCTGCTGGCTCATGTTAAGCTTTTCATCCATCAAGACCCACAAGTCCTTCTCTGTAGGGCTGCTCTCAAGGACCATTCCTTCCAGTCTGTATATATGCCTGGATTGACATCATCATTTGCTTTTCTGAAGTAAGGTGGCTAAGTCAGGGTAAAATGCTAGAAACGCTCTGCAAAACTATGGGCTATCATATGTTTATTCAGAAAGATGGTAAAAAGTCTGAAAAATACATAATGATTTTGCAGACTTTTTGTTACGATGATAACAGGCCATGCAGTTCTTGACAAGGGAAACAGTTCACAGAAATTTATTTGGGTAGCTAAGACAAATTGTATAGCTACTATTCATTCTTTCACTTTCATATTCAATTCAATGCTTTACCACTCTCTTCAATAGCATGGAAACTGCTGTTACAATAACAGATAGCAGAACTGAAGGCCAAAAACAGCCCAATAATAACATCAGCAGGAAGAAGGAATGAACACCATTCTAAATTCTGCTCCTGAATACAATTTACAGAGTGCCATACAAAGCATTGGACTGGCTTCACAGAGAGAGCAATGAATGGAGGGCAGAAAGAAGCAACTGCAAGTTGAGACTGCGTAGCGCGGCAGATATTACTAAAATAGTCACACCTGAAGTCTACACCAAAATAGGATTAAGATACACATTGACCAAATAAGTTTGCCAGTTTATCTGTATGACTGACTGTTGTAAGCTAGAGAAGCTGGAAGTGCTACTGCTTCTACTTCAAGACTGATTAGTTGAGGATTCTGAATTCTGCTATATATTCCTGTATAATCAATGAGTATACAGATGTATAATTGGCAAATATACAAAGAATTTAGGCTGGTCTTCAGAGAGTGCATAGCTGGAAAGATTATCATGTTGGAAAGGGATATCAGAAATGAATGGAAAAGCTTACCTACATCCTGGGCTTGCAAAAAAAACTTCAAAAAGAGCAATCTCCAAATAGAGATCCTTCCTCAGAGGCAGTCAGCCCTTAAATGGGGTCTGGGAGAGGTAGAGCCAGGCTCCATCCCTTCCAGTCACACAGCTGAATTGCGTTCACTCGTGCTCCCATGACTGACTCATTGCTTGCCTCAGGTGATCAATCAGAGGTTTAGGCTGTGATTCAATAGTTCCCTTGCAGTACCGATGGATAAACAGTGTGATTTATTTACTCATATCTCTTTATTTGCCTATCTACCATTGTTGTTTCAGTAAGGAATTGGAAAAGGGTTATTTTTAAGCAGCAGTATAACTCATTACATAAATGTTGAGGCTAATTGTGAATCAAGGCATTTTAGTATTCTATTAACATAACATATAGCTAATAAAAATGAGACCATTTTAGAAATCCTACAAGGAGCTAATTTTAGAAAACATTTCCCTATCCATGGGATAAGGAAACACACAACTATTTTCAACCATACACTTCCTTTGCTCTCACAAACAGCCTTCCTTAATAGTTATTTTTTTTTTGTTGTTCTTTAATATTGCTGCAATAGCTTTCACAAAATGCAGTTAATAAGTATCGTGTTATAAAAAGAAAACACCTCATTGGGTTCTTATTTTTACCTTTAGCTTAATTTTTAAGTTAACAGTGGCATACTAACTTATATAAGCAACAAGATTAACTGTATATATAATAGAAATGTTGTTTTCAGTCTATTAAGTATACCTAGTAATTTTGGTGGAGCCAAAGATTTAGACACTAGATAACTCCAGTACAAGTCAGTAAGGGCAAGGCTGTGTTTAAATCAGTAAGAGATCCCATGGATTGTAATTGTTATTTCAATGCACAATAATGCTTTTCCCTTCGAGCTTTCTGTTACAGAGGGATGATTCACTTGCTGATTCTTCCTACACTGAGTCAAATTTTAAATGAAATTCTATAAAAAAGCTTGATAGCAATGCTGTTACTGGGAAGGAATTTCTTGCAGACAAGAAAAATGTACATTTATGAACTACTAATACATTGCAATTTATACAATTCAAACTGCTAAATACACCTTAAACTGCATTATTTTGAAATTTTGACATCCTTCTGCCTTTCTTCCTCTACTAAATCTGAAACTTACCAGTTTTTTTTTGTTTTGTTTTGTTTTTGTTTTTTCCATATTTCAAGCCCCCCAAAATATGGATTATTCTGCAAAGGTTGGATATGGGTTGAATCTTAACTTCAGCCAGAGTACAAGGAAATTTTTTTCCAGGATGTCACTCTGTCATTCCAAACTAAAAACAGCTACAGGTCTAAGTTCAAACAACCTAAAATTTTAAAATCTACCGTTTTCATTCATACTATTTTCCATTAGAATAATCATTCTACTTTTTCATGCTGTTGGACCCATGCAATCTTCTATGCAATTTTAATGTATTAAATACAATAAAAATCATAATATATTTAATAAAATACCTAAAAAGAGAAAAAAGTATTTCTTTGCCAAAGTCAAGATTCATTATGCTTCTCTTCTAATTGCCTGAGTAAGATTATAGCAAGAAAACTATAAGAACAGAAGTGTAAGGAAGAATTGTACTAGTAATATAATAATGAATATAATCAAAAGAGAATAAACATCTAATGCACCAGCTGTTTCTGAGATCTGGCCTAAGAATAGTATCTTGTACTAGGTTTTTTTAAAGAGAGGTTCAATTTTTAACTGCTCAACAATGATAATTTGTGAGGCATTATCTGGCACGTATTTAACTCGGATCTGACAGTGATTTTTATCTGCATGGTTTTTCAGCTATACACCCTAGGTCTTTGCTATCCAGAATGAAGAGAAGGAAAAATTATTTCTCTAGAAAGCAACAGTGTAACACCACTGAAGAGCCAAGTGATCCTTAACTTTCTATACATCATTAGAAGATGATTATCTTTTTTACCCACAAAAAAAAAAAAAAAAGCAAAAAACAAAACAAAACAAAACAAAACACCACAAATCCTATGTATATTGATGATGTTATTTTGAAGATGCAACTGGTGTTTCATACCTGCACCTACCCACCTACATTCACCTAACACTTTCACACAATGGAATTAGAACAGTGTCTTTAGTATGAAGTAGAACACAGGCAATAACTTTACAAAACTAGAATTTTACTGCTCAAGAAGCAAGAAATAAATTAAACAGACTGTATAAGTGATCAAAGAATTGTAGGGGTTGGAAGGTATATCTGGATATCACTGAGTCCAACATTCCTACTAAATGAAGTTCCCTACAGCAAGTCACATAGGTATATGTTCAGATGGATCTTGAATATGTCCAAGGAAGGAGAATCTACAACATCTCCAGGCAGCCTGTTCCAGTGCTAGGTCACTCAAAAAGTAAAGAAATTCTTCATCTTAGTATGGAACTTCCTGTGTTCCAATTTCCCTTGTTCTATTGACACACATCACTGAGAAAAGAAGTCCAGCACCATTAACTTTAATCACACTCTTAAGTTATTTAAAAATAAAAGTATGAGATCCCCTCTCAGCCTTCTCTTCTTCAGAAGGAGGAGTCCCAGGTCTCTCGCTTTTCTCACATGGAAGATTCTCCAGGCCCTTTATAATCTTTGTTGACTTCCACTGAACCCTTTCTAGGGGATACCTGTCTTTTTTTGAAATTGGTAGTCCAGAATTGAGTACACCATTCCAGATATGGCCCCACCAGGGCAGATTAAAGACAAAGGATTGTTTTCCTTGACCTGCTAGCCACACTTTTTAAAATATATTATGCACCTCAGAATACCATTAGGCTTCTTGGCCACAAGGGCTGGCTCATAGCCTACCTGTTGTCCACCAGGACGTTTAGGCCCTTCTCTGTAGAGGTCTTTTCAAGTAGATCAGCCCCTAACACAAGGGTTTTGAATCTTTTGACTTGCTAGGCCACACTGAGCAAAGAATTGTCTTGAGCCATATATTTGAGGCTGTATCAGAAATAATACCTCCTATTTATTTCTATGGAAACTACAACAGATACAAAGAGCATAACAGTACCTGATAGGACAAATTTTCAACTACAAAATTCTATATTTCAACATAATCATCACTACTAGGAACAATTAGGTCACAGCCCAAACTAGTGATTGAGCATCTGGATATATGTGGCAAGCAATTCACCTGCATGACAGGAGGTTGACTCATTTAAGGGCTGGCAGCCAAGAGTACCTCTACTTGGAGATTTTGTCCTCTGGGGAATGTTCCAGTGAACCCTAGTTTTTGGAGTAGGGTAAATTCTTCTTTTCTTAGTATCAGATTATAGCTAAAGCCTTTCTTAGGTTATCCAAAAGCCAGTTAGAGGCAGCTACGTGCCTCTATTTTATGCCTTACAACCAGTGTTAGCTATTCATTTTCACCAGCAATGAACAAGAGCCTGCATGCTATACTTACAAAAATCTGCAGGAGTGGAGGTGACCCACTATCACCACTGTAGAAGTGTACCACCCATCACCTCGCTGTGTTCACATCTACTGTTTGGTCTCAAAAAAAAAAAAAAAAAAAAAAAAGGTTCAGCAGTGAATGAATACCAATGAGTTTTTCTTCAATGGAGGAATTCAATTAACTACCTTTGCTTCATATACACTTCTGTGTCAGATGCCATTTTGTTAGACAGCCCCTCTGTTGCCATCTGTCACACGGCAACACAATGTAATGGAATGTTGTCAGGGAGGTTCAGCCTCCACTCTTACACTATTAACATCTGATGTCATGGCCTACCATAATAACGTAGGAGGCATTACTTTTGGAGCAGTTCTTGTAAACTATATAATAGTTTACATACGTAAGTAAAATAACTTAATTTTTAATGCATTTTATTAAAACAAAAAAGAGGGCAACAGAAACTGATGGGGTTATTTGACTGGGTATTGACTGGGTTATTTGACCTCAGTTTTGTGAGAACAGTATGTCAGCCTGATTTGATCAAAGTGGTTGCAATTCTTTTTGTGTTCTTGAGGTGTTCAGAGATAAATTTATTCTTCCTGTGCTTCATCCTCAAAAGTAGTTTGCAAATATATACTGCCAGAGGGCAGTGATGTGAATAAGGTGGGATGGTGAAGTAAGGGATGTTTTTCCTCTGGTAAGTGAGGTCTTATGAAAGTCTGGTGAAGAAACATTGAGTTGGATACTAGACACTATTTACATTACATAAATTAACTGCAATTTTTAAAATATGAACTGAAGACAGAATCACAGGTATACCAGAAAATTAACTTTTTTTTCCCAGCAAGCTTGAAACCTAGTCTCAAACTCCCTTATCAAAACAGAAAGCATGGCTACTTGTTTTTCACTGTTTACAGTATTATGTTTAACCAAAATACCTAAAACTATTTGCCATAATTTGAGTTAGTGATGCTCTGAGCCCTCCCATGTCCTGGTTTCAGTTGACACTGTTAATAGCATACTGATGTGTGGTTGTTGCTGAGTGATGGATAGCACCTGTGGCCAGACTGGGCCAGTAGCCAAGGAAGAGCTCCCATCACGATGGTGAGGGGCAGGGGCTACACTGCTTGTCAGGCTGCACTGAGCCACCTTTGGGCAGTGGGTTGGAGGTTGGATAGATCTATCCTAACTTGTATTGATGCATACAGTTATTCCTCCCCAGGCATTGGAGTCTACACTTGCTCTTTTTGTACCTCACCAGGCTCCTCTCTGCCCAGCCCTCTAGTCTGTTCAGGTGTTGCAGAATAGCAACACAGCCTTCTGGAATTATGAATGGCTGGAGCTAAAACATATTTTTATTTTCATTGCATTGCAAATTTGTAAAGCTATGGAAATGCTCAAAAACAGTAAACAAGGAAGTATTTGAAGGAACACATGACTAAACTTTAAGTTCCAACAGTTTCACCTGTTTAATTGAAGTCATAGTTCTGTATAAGGGAATACTAGGACTAAGTTTGCCAAGACAGTTGGATCCATGTCTAGTAACAGGCATGAACTGTCCTGAAAATAATCACAACTTTAGAGTCTCCCCACTTGGCGTGGCACAGGAATGCAAACTAGAGCAGGAATGATAA